TTAGTGTCTCAAAGACCTGAAAGCCATTCCTCTGAAATGTAATCATCAGAAATGACAGGGCCTTGGTCTTTCAGTCTTTTTAGTGGGAGGATAGAATCTTAACTTTGCTAATTGCCTGCTGACAGACATGGCTGGCCTAATTGACATTTACACTGACCCATCCTTTGAAATTTTTTTTCCCTGACTGCTCAATCCCCCTGTATTCCCCCTTCCTGATCCCTCATCCTCCCTTTAAAATGCACAGTCATTGCTGCACAAATGAAAGTTGACTTCAGTTGATGCTGGACACTCTTTCCTATTACAGTAGTACATTATTAATTGAAGTCTGTTCTTACCACTTTAGTGTCTGACTTCTTTTATTTTGACAGAAGTAAATTACTTTTTGAAACATAACTACTAAGCAGCTGAGCCACAGTTTGATTCAAAGACTCAAGGTCCATGGCCTAAATACTTAGGAAGGCTTATTGAACATCCTAAACATAAATAGAAGAAGAAAAGTGTCAAGGAGAGTTCTGTGAGGGCAAATAATCACGGGCAGAGGAAGACCGTGAGACTTAATAATTCATGTCTGGATATGGCAAGGGCTACTGCGAGGCCGGTCTCGAATCCTGCTCACAGCGCCAATTGTAAAGCTAGGCGACCACGCTAGTTGTCGTGGCTCTTTTACCTGCGGGTAATCCTGCACCGACTGGGCTGATGGTTGAGCTAAGGCTGGGTCTGGAGCTCCCAGATCCCTCAAGCCCATTCACAGACTGGATCACAAACCCTTCACACGCCAGGCTGGGTCACCAGACCCCTTCACTCAGGTCTATAAGCTAGGTAACCGGACACACGGTCCTTGGAAGCTGCAGATCTGGAAAAACATGACCGCACAGGGCGGGCACCTGAGGCAGTAAAAAACCAGTCAAAGCGGCGCTGCTGTGCAGGCGCACTTACTCCACCTACACACACAATGTTACCGAATGACCCTGAACCGGCCCTGAGGCAAGGGGAGCTTGATTAAATCATTTTATTTTCCCAACAATTCATAATATAACACTATTCTTTTCCAACATATTTTATTTTAATAGACATCACGGAAGTATGTACCTTAGGACAAATAACTGCTTCAAACCAGTGGGTAATAAAGATGTGAGTTTAATCCATAAATTAATAGATGTAATAAAATTCTTTATCCACATAGCAGCCAAGATAGTCTCAGACCTTTAACTGTCACAATTAAAGTATATCTTCCAACTTAGCCGTTAGCAGTAATAATGGAGATCTGGGGCCTCCATCTTTACTCTTTTGTTTATTTCTCTAATTATTCAGAACCCAGACAAGGTGCTCTGTCCTGGAGGCCCCTCACAAACACACCACTAGAACAAGACCCACATGCGACAGAGGAAAAACATGCAAAATCATCCAAGTAGATCTTAACTCACAGGCTTTAAGTCATCATGCTTTTCAATAACAAATTTTCAAGAAGTTTCTTACAGTCAAATCTGTCAGTCCTTTCTTTTATGATTCTTCTTGTTCTCATGCTTATAAAGACCTT